GCATGAAACTTCTGACCATCTGCCAGCTCACCTGGTTAGTTACTGGCTTGAACCTCAGACCAGGCTTATTCAAAAGTCTCTCAAGCTGCTTGTGATTGAAGTTTGACACCCCGATGTACTTCACCATCCCTGAAATCACCAGGTCCTCCATGGCCTAAAAGAGAATCAAGAAATGGGCTGAGTATACAAGTTGTCTAATCTCTGGCAAAACACGTCCCATAGTGTCCAGCAGAGTGTCCCAATATGTTAAATGTATTGTACTCTACCTGAAGCCTCAAAATCATGTGGGCATTTTTATCTACACCAGGGATATTTTATTTAAAGGTACAGTAAATGATACACAGAAAGCACTCAGCCAAGGCTGGAACATAAAAGCCTTCAGTGCATTTTAGCAAGCCCTCCTCCCACTGCAAGGCAGGTGGCACCCCGTCCACTGGGGAGTCTATCCGCTTCCCTTTCTCTCCACCTAGATCTTCATCTCTCGCAAAGGATGTGTCATCATTCTCATTTCCCACCCTCATCATCCCACACTCCAAGAAATCCAAAGGCAGAGGCAACCTAAACTCTGAGCTGCTCTCTGATGAGTAGACAGTGTTGTACTTCAACTTCAGAAAAATCAGGACCATTGTGGCAGTGGGCAGGCAGGAGCAAGTACAGCAGTCATGAGGGTGGTGACCAGTGAGCTCGAATAGTCCCAGCACTGTCTTGATTTGACAGTAATCACCAAAGCCACTTGTGCTACCTAAATGCTGAGTGCTTAGACCCCAAATCTTTCATGTGAGGAAACCCAGGGTGGACAGAAAGGGCTGGAACCCACACGCACTGGTCTTGACAACTCTGACTCCTCTTGGTCAGTTTCCTTCTGCTCAGTTTCCATGTTTCACTGCTTTCCAGGAGCAGAAGCTGAGGAGGCCCAGCCCAGACACATCTCCCTGCCTGTGGTTTCCCTTTCGTCTCCCTTTCTAAGAGAGCAGAGCATTTCCAAGGTTTCACCCATCAAGCCCACGAGAATGGGTCCAGATCTCATCTCAATCTCAACTTTCCCCTGAACTAGGCAAGTTCAGTTTTGAACTCATTTTCTTCCTGGGCCTCAAATGTGCCCACGATGTACCCCATGCTGGTTAGCAGCCCGGTCTCAGGGAACCCTGCTATGCTTACCTCTGATGTCCCTACTCCACTGCCTTCAGGGGAAACTCACATCTGCCACCTCCCTGATTCTCCTGCTCACTATTTGACTTCAAACAGTGACCACTTTTCATCTGGATCCTTGACACTCAATAAGCTTCCCTCCATCACCAGTGTGGTTTTTTTTTTCTTAATTATTATTATTATTTCATGTGTATGAATGCTTTACCTGCATGTATGCAGTGTATCACATGCATGCAATTCCATGGAGGATATCAGATCCCCCAGAACTGGAGCATCTCTCCAGCCCCAAATTTTATTTATTTATTTTTATTTTATGTGTATGAATGTTTTGCCTCCATGTATGTAAGTGCACCCATGTCCTGGGCAAAAGAGGATGTCAGATCCCCTGGAACTGGAGTTACGAATGGTTATTAGCTACCATGTGGGTGCTGAGAATCAAATATGGGTCCTCTGGAAGGGCAGCCAGTGCTCTTAGCCACTTAGCCATCTCTCCAGCTCCCCCAACTCCCAGTGTGGGTTTTAAAATCTTGCCAACATTAGGGTTCTGTAATGCTTGAAAGAGAGATAAAAGGAACCACCAAAAGTGACTGCCACTGCCTGACACAATATGGATTTTTCAGCTTCCTCTCTTACAGTGTGTATTTCTTAAAGAAAAATGTCCTGTTTTAATTTAAAAAGAAATGGGTGAGGGAAAGAGAGAGCTTTGTATTAAAGAGATACACAATACTAAGCTAAAGGTAATAAGATAATTGGCGGCATCTGAATTTTCCAAGTATTCATTCATAATTCATATTGTGTATTCGTTATTTTTCTTATTGTTTGACAAAATACCTGACACGGGCAATTTAAGGAAGGGCTTAATTGGCTCCCAGTTTGGGGGACAGTCCATCATCATGGGGAGTCATGGGCACAGGAGTGTAAAGCAGACAGTTATGTTGCATCCATAGACAAGGAGATGAGTGAGCTGGATCTGCGCAGGTTCTCAGCCCACTTTCTCTTCTTTTATCCAGTTTAGGACCCCAGTTCATGGAAGGATGCCACCCACATCTAGGGATAAGTCATCATGCCGCATTTAATCCACTCTAGGAACTCTGCACAGACATGCCCAGAGATTGTCTTTTAGATGAGTCCTGATCCTACAAACGTGTCAGTCAGTACTAACCATTACACTGCAAACCTCCCCCTATGTCTGAAGTAGACTAAGTTGGTTAACTTGGTAGTTTTCTTTTTAATCACAGATGCTCAAGATCATTTGGATGTTTGTGACCAGGATGGGGGTAGCCAGATCGTGCAACTCTACTCACCTCCCAGGTGTCCAGGAAGTCTGTGCTGCTGGGTATGACCATGCCATTGCAGTCCAAAGGTAGGTCTTTGTCTCCAGGCTGTGAGAACAGGAAGAAAAGAACTTACTGGGGCCTGTGACCACCTTTGATGTGGAGACTGTGTAGGAGGACAATTCAGAGGAACAGAAGAGCCTGTGCCCACAGATCTGAATTTTAGTTTTGGTCCCGACACTAGTCCTGCCAGCCCGACTGTGCTGCACACGCAGGCCTCAGCTGCCACTTCAGTATGACTGTATGTGAGGGGACAGCATGGCCAACAAAATTCCTGCCAACCGTGAAACTCACTGTCCATTCTCACAGGGCAGGGAAGGAAGAGCTCGAGTCTCTGCTAAGTGCTAAAAGGTTAACACGAACCTCAGATAAAGATGGGGGTAATGGAGCATCCTTTGCCCAGAGATACATTCTAACCTCTCCCAAAGATATTGTCAGGATCTTCTCTTTCTGTTTTCAAACTTCCCATCAAAATGAGATACAATGAACTGAGGAAACGAAGATCATCCTGGAGACAGAGGCCGAGAAAGGCCTCTTGAAAGTGTAAAAACCTGATGTCACCCTTCTAAGCAGCAATAGTGATGTACAGACTACCTGCCTCTCTCGGGCACAAAACCACCTTCCCAGAGTCATATAGGACAAGTGACAGAGAATATACATTTAATAATGCCTAATCATTCAAAATGTTGAAAGTTGAAGCCTAATCCATACTTTCTAGGATGAACAACAGAGGTTTACTTCGAAGTCCTCTCCCATCCTGAAATTTGTCTAGACATTTACAGGAATTTAACCATGGATTAAGCAGTACCTTGAAACCCATGGGCCAATGGATGAGGTAGAGGTCCAGGTAATCCAAATTTAAGGCCTTCAGAGTATTGGTGCACGCTTTTTCCACCAAGGACTTCGTGTGGTAAGTGCACCAAAGCTACAGAAAAGAAAGGAGACCATTGTCACAAAGTCACAGTGCAGAGCTAACATGTCATCCACTCGTTGGTCCCACAAGGCTGCTACCTAGAAGACCAAGAACCCCAGAGATGAGAGGGCAGTGATACATTGTGAAAGTTCTGAAACAACAGGGTGACATTATTCCCA